GCCAATTCAGCTAAACCTCGAACAGTACCCCTAAAGGACCGTATGCTAATTGGTGATTCGCCAACCGTTCGCCATGAAGTTCTGAAAGCTTAAGCCTCCAACTTGCGCCGCAACTCTGAACGGCAAAGCCTCTCCATCCCACCAGAAACAAGAACCCGAAACCCAAGTCCACCACCTGTCACTCCTAGAGACCCGCATATTCCCATAAATACTTCACTTGTGCTGCTGCTGCCGGTCCGTCTGCACTTCTAGCACAACTGAGCAGCAGCAACAACAACAACAACAACAGCAGCAACTAATGCTACGACGATTAGTGCCACTACTCGTGCTACTACTGCTGCAACTACCTCCTACTCCTACTCCAAAACACTCCTACTCCTCCTCCTCCTCCTACTACTACTACTACTACTACTGCTACCATCTTGTCGACCTCCTATGGACTCTAGCAACACCACACGTGCCCAGCTTATGCCATGGTGGAGCTCGAGGCTCTAGAGCGAGGTGACTGGAAGACACTCAAGGAGGATGTCTCCGAAAGCGTGGTCGATTCAACAGGGATTGAGCTGGATCTGAACCAGCCTGCTTCGAACTCAGCACGGCTTCTTGGCGCCTCTCAGCCTTTCACCTTGCGCGTCTTCGCCATGAGCGGCCAGTGCCTCATAGAGTTGGAGATCCGGCCGCCGGAAGTGCCAAGGATGGAAGAGCTGGCAGCACGGGTTAGCGCAGCCATGAAGGTCTCTGCTGGAAGGGTGTCCCTCTTGAGCGGCACCGACAAGTTGCAACTCAGCCAGGACATTTCCGTGCTCCCGAGGCAAGACGATGATCTTCTCGAGCTGCATGCTATCGCGGACGAGCTTGGCACCCGGCAATTGGAGATGCGGCCGGGAAGAGTGACTGCAGTGCAGCTTCAGGCGCCGACGAGGCTTCAGGTGGGCAGTTGTCAAAATTAGGGTCCTCTTTTGGGGGTACCCTAAATAATAGGTGCCGTATTATAATAAGGACCCAAAAAGGGACCATAATTTTGACAACCACCCAGGTGGAGTTTGCACCCGGGGAAATCTCGGAGCAGCACGCGCTGTCTCTGTCTTACAAGCACACGGTCGTCGTCAGGTCTGACATCCCCAAGCTCGTGTACTCGACTCAAGTCGCGGGTGAGACCGACATCGAAGTGTCCTCCATGACGTTGCTTGCCACACTGCCGCTCAGCGCATTGCAGGAGTTGTTGCTCACGCGCCTCAGCGTGAGCATCCGGACAGAGGCGATGATGCCACCCGCAGGTGGGGTTTTCCGAAAGTAAGGGGTACCTTATGTTGGGGTCCTTATAATAAGGATCCTACTTTCTAGGGTACTATATTAGGGTCCCCTGAAGCTGTCAGGTGAGCGGACGTACCCCCGCCTCATGGCTTTTCGAGAGTCGCAGTTCGAGAGGTGCAGCGTGCACAACGGCAACGAGCTCGTTTGGCTTGTCGGAAAGCTCGCAGCCTATTGGGTCTTGGACTTCATCGCGCTGCTGATGTCTGCCATTGTCGCCATTGTGGAACTGGTTACAGGGAGCCCTTTGTTTGGGGCTTTGCTGGCAGCCTCCCTCTGGCTTCCCGGCTTCATCTGGGCCTGCAGGTACCAGGCATATACCTTCGATCGGAAGTTCGTGGGCATTGGCGCCATCATGGTTTTGCCTGTCTGCTGTGCGAGCTGTTGCTGTGGGATTGTGTGGCTTTGGGTTCCCTTGGGACTCCTGGCGGGCACCTTAGTGGTCAGCGGCTGGCACTTCTTGGGCCTGCTGCGGGTCCTTTGCAAGGATCTAAGGGCTTTATATAAGGACTATACAATGGTTATATTTAACCCTAAACCCTAAACCCTAAACCCTAAACCCTAAACCCTAAACCCTAAACCCTAAACCCTAAACAGGGCTCCCTCCTACAGTCCTTTGCAAGGAGGACATCCCCTTGCCCTTCGATTTGGAGAAGCTGTACTTGTTCGAGCTGTACAAGCGCGACGTGCGGCTCTTCAGCGACCTCCCGCGATTGATCCTTAAACGTTCCACAGGGTTCAGGGTTTAGGGTTTAGGGTTTAGGGTTGGTGTTCTTCTGGTTGGCTCTTAGGACTTTAACTTTTGGGTTTCTATATGAACTGTAATAATACTAAGAGTTTAACACCCTAAACCGGTATCAGATACCCGCCAAGGATCCTACTGGCCATGGTCTTCGCAAGGCAGCCAGGGAGTCGGTTCGAAAGCCTCGCCGGGCTGCTTGCTACAGTGCTGGCGGGATCGGTCTCGCTGCTGCGCCATCGACGAGCACTTTTCGATGAAGCGTTTGAGCACTTCGATGATGTGACGATGGAGCAGCTTTCCGACTGATTTGCGAAAGGCAAATCCCTGAAAGAGAGGGTCAAACAAGACTGCTTAGAAGACTCCAAGCCCTAAACCCTAAACCCTAAACCCCTAGACCCTAAACCCCAAGCCCAAAGTCAGCGGACTTAGTCGGGTCACCACCTTGTTTCACTGTGGCAACGATCCATCTCTGCTTTGAGAATGTCCGGGCCGCTGTAGACACCAAATCTAGCCGCCCATCGCAGGAAAAGCAATAGTAGCGACGGTGTGGTTTGACCGACACGGCCGTTGAAGTGTCTTGAGCTCCTTGTTCTTCCGGTCCTGAATGTTTTTTTTCTAATTTTGTCACCCTAAGCCCTAAACCCTAAACCCTAAACCCTAAACCCTAAACCCTAAACCCTAAACCCCTAAACCACAGATCATGTGGGGACCCAAGTCTTAGACGCCCTTGCCGGCGAAGCCCTCGACCAGAGTTTTGGCTGTCAAACTGGGAGTTTCAGAAAATTAGGGTACCTTATTTTGGGGTCCTTATAATAGGGATCCTATTATTTAGGGTACTATATTAGGGTCCCCTATTTTCGGAAACCCCCAACTGATTCGGCCAGTGCTGCTACAGTGGTGTTCAGGAATTAGGGTTTAGGGCTTAAGGTTCAGGAATTAGGGTTTAGGGTTCATGGTTCAGGAATTAGGGTTTAGGGTTCATGGTTCAGGAATTGGGGTTTAGGGTTTAGGAATTGGGGTTGAGGGTTCTGGAATTAGTGTTTAGGGTTCAGGAATTAGGGTTTAGGGTTTAGGAATTAGGGTTTAAGGTGACGCTACTCCCCAGGGCCTCTTCCATCATTTTCTACCATTGCGCCTTTCCCGGGATCCTGTTCGAACGAGTAAGGCCGCTATAATGGTTTTGGACACCCAAGACCCACCCAACCCTAAACTTAGGCCCGAAACCCTGAACCCAAAAACCCTAAACCCTGAACCCTAAAACCCTAAACCCTGAACCCTAAAACCTAAAACCCTAAACCCTGAACCCTCTCCACTTCGATTCTGCAGGTGCTGAGCGATCCGGAGAAGAAGCAGAAGTACGATAGATACGGCGAGGAGCAAAGGGTTTAGGGTTGTAGGGTTTAGGGCTTTTGGGTTTTAGGGTTTTAGGGTTTAGGGTTTAGGGTTTAGGGTTCTAGGGTTTAGGGCTTAAGG